AGAATGAATGAGGAAACAAGCAAATCATGAATGGGATTTGTGTTTAACAAGATGTTATTTAAGGCGTTGTTTGATTAGTCTTTTTTAGAAGATCTTCTAGTAGACCTTACAGCCAAAAGACGATGTGAGCTTTTGCATTAAGATCTTAGTAGCTTGAAGACCGTCCGGTTAAGGTGCATCTTTACACGAGAAGATGAGTTGAAGAAAAAGTGAAAAACACTATTTAGAGCTTCTCGAAAATAGCCTGAAGTGGGTTTTTTACGTATTTTTTTGGGATTGTGCCTTTCAACGACTAGATTTTTTCCCAATCAAACAGGAAAAGACCAAAATGTGGGATGTTGGACTTCTAAAAAGTTGATAGCCCACACAAAAAGATGTGCCAAATGGAGTCTTAAATAAAAATGAACAAGGAGATTTTGCCAAAATATCAACCATCTTGTTAAATTCTTTGGGTCATATTTGGTGAATCGAAATCGGATTCAGAATGGTCTATTCCCATAGTCTGTACCCTTGGTTCAAAGTTGAGATAGAAATCGGAAAGGGAATTGGAATCGGTTTGAATGGAACTCATTTCTAAGGGAGGAGAGGAAATGGCCATTCCTCAAGTGGGGGAATTCTATTCCACATTTACAGCTCTTCCACCCAACCAAATAGTTGGAATCAGGTGGTGTTAATCACAATTCACGAGGGTGCTTTGATTGGTCAAAGCTCTTTCCATACCATTTCTTTTCGTTATCATAGATTTTCCCTAACTAAAATGCTTTCTTAGACTTCGACTTCTAGTTAACAGAGAAGTATGAAGTTTTAAAATGCCTTTCGATAGTCACTAAACAAATAAAAAAAGAAAAAAAAAATCAAACAGCCCATTAACACACAAAAAAAAGTAGAAATATCATCCATTTAACAGAGAAACATCAAGCATTAACCACAATCTGCATCGAACCTGTTAAAAAATTAGGGCTCAATGAATTTTCTATTACACATAGGAAGAGAAGCCCAAAGCCAAAAGTCTAAAAACTCTTTTTTCGACTTCTGTAAAACCAACTAACCAAGTGAAGGAAGCAAAAGCTTATCCAAGCACTGCATGAGGAATGTGACCCCATAATACTTTGCCCCTCTTGCCTAAACTACCACACATTTCCACTCCAAAACAAACTAGCGTACGGGGCCCTACGTTGCAGGGGCTCGCTCATAAACTATTAGGCTCGAGCTCGATTCAAATTAAAGACTTGAGCTCGAGCTCAAGATCGGCTCGAGTCAAAAGCTTGGAAGTTCAAGCTCGACTACTTTTGGTTGTAGGTCTCTCAAGCAGCCGAGGTGCCAAGCCTGTCAAGGTGCGAAATCGAGGTCTCCCTCATCTGCAGAAGTGTCGAGATGAAGTTTCCCTAGCATGCGAGGTGTCAAGCTAAGGTCTCCCTTAGTTGACAAGGTGTCGAGCTGAGGTCTCCCTCAATTGTCGAGGTGCTGAGCCGAGATCTCCCTCAGTAACCGAGGTGCCGAGCCGAGGTCTCCCTCAGTGGTCGAAGTGTCATCTAGCTCGAGCTCGGCTCGGCTCGAACTCGACTACCTTTGAATGTAGGTCCCCTAGTAGTCGAGATGCCAAGCTGAGGTCTCTCTCAGATGGAGAGAGAGTGGCATTCTTGTAATTTATAAGGAGAGAGAGAGAGATGGCATTATTGTAATTTGCAAGAAAAAGAGAGGGAGAGAGAGAGAGAGTTGGTAGGAAAGAGAGTGGCATTCTTGTAATTTATAAGGAGAGAGAGATGGTATTCTTGTAATTTGAAAGAAAAAAAGAAAATGAGAGAGTTGGTAAAGAGTGGCATTCTTGTAATTTCTATGAAAAAAAGGCAAAAAATCATTGTAAGATTCCATTTCCCTCATCCTCAGGCTTTCTTACATACACATTTTAGCTTAATAGATTTATATAGATCAATGGAACGTTTGGTCAGACCCAAGTATTCAAGCAAGGTTTTGTAGGAAAAAAAAAAGTACTTCTAGCAAGGTTAACAAAGTTGAACCATAAATTCCTACTTATATTACAACAAATCTAAAGAAAATCTAAAGATGATCGGCAATTCCCCACCTTGCAAGCATAGCACATACACATGAGGAGAAAGGTAACCACTCCCTCTCCCTTTTTATTTGCTTAATTAAGGTCACATTTCCAAACAAATGTCTCACACAAAATATTATTAATAATAATCATAATGTTTTCAATTTAATATTAGTTGATAAGCAGTGGGAGGGGACATGTCATGCATGTATGCAAGTAAAGATGAAAATATAATTACATATATGTTAACAAATTTAACTTTTATGACTTGCTCCAAAACCAAGACAAGTAACTAATTTATAATAATATAGATAATAATAAATATTATTATTTATTTAATAATAATAAATATTATTATTGAATATTTATTATCAAGTAAATAGTAAATAGTATTATGTTATTTAAATAAATAATAATATTTTGTTATCACATTATTCAATATATTAATTAATAATAAACAATTATTTATTTCAACAAATTACGATATTTATTTATCAATATAATAATATTTTTATTTAATATTCTTTTTATTATTTGTAATATTATCAAACAGTCTACTTCCAAAGGTAAAATAGTAAACTTTACAATGTTAGATGTTGGAGAATTATACCAACTAAAACGTTATTATCTTTTCAGAGAAAGCAGAAAATCATTTTTATTTTTTTTCAGATTTCAAATCGAATAATAGCTTTTTAACTTTTCAAGCATCAAACTTTAGATTTATCAGATGTAACCTAAGTCTGGGTGACAATGCCAATTTTGGGATATTTGATTGTTGGAGAAAATGCTCATGTTTCAAGAAATTTATTGAGGATTAAAAGGTGAAACCTTACCTATTTCCATGAGAGTGTCGAACCACCATAGTGGAAGCCCTGATGATCATGGATGCTGTAAAAGATGACATGCTAGGTCATATTCTGCCTTTGACATGTACCAATAGGCCTCACAAGTGTATTAAGTCCACCAGATTAGAATGGTTGGTTTTGATTATGGACAACAGACAAGACTTACATTTTGGGGAGCTCTCACTAAAACCACCCCACAAAGTTTAACTTCACCGTGCATTCACAACAATTTAAAACTTCTAATACACCCACATTCCTTAATTTTTAAGACCGTAAAAGCACTCACCTTTACTATCTCAAGATGTGTGACTTAAGAAACTGAATCAGATGTTAAATCAGATTCTTTTTATATCTTTCCACCTCTGAAGCTACATAACTTTATATCTTTCTATTTACAAGAAAGCATATCCATTTTCTTCAAAAATTACAGGGCATTCTACAATACGAATGTTTTTGTTTTTATTTGTTTTTCACATTAGTAAAAAAAACAAAAACTTATTCTTGAACTCTGTTTTTGTTTTCAAAGGGAAAAACAATTTAATTTTGTTTTCAAAAAAAACAATACATATTTTTGGGACCAACAAAATATTGGTTTCTTAAAACAAAGACAAATATTTTAGTATAAAAATTATATGATTTTTGGAACATGATATTGAATAATCAGATGAAAACATGTTTTTTAAACTAGATTCAAGAATATGTTTTTGGTTTCAATTTTGGAAACAAAAAACACATACATAATCAAGAACATACTTCTTGTGTTTTGTTTTAAGAAACAATCTGTTTTCAAAAAGATGATTTTGATTTATTTTTGAAACCCACCAAAAAAAATCACCACATTGTAGAATACCCCCTTCATCTTAAAGAAGGGGAACATTAGACATGTATCCCGAACCTGAAAATTGGATAAATTAAAGTATGTTCCATAGGCTCAGTTTGGAAGGACTACAAATGCAAATATGTAGAGTACAAAACCTTGTATTTGGTACCGGAAGAGCTTTGATCAATCAAAACCCACCCATGAATTTTGATAATATCACCTTATTGATTGGCTAATATGTTTATGCTACTGGCTGATTGGTTACAAGTTTTTCAGATATCATGTCTTTCCGGTATCATGGTGAAATCATGTATTTAGTACATATTATATACTATGGATAATACATATCTTGTAAGTGTAATAGACATTAGGCCCAGAAAGCCTAATCTGGGCCCTATTCGTGGGCCAGGGTAGGCTCAGGCCCAAGCTTAGACTTGTATTGTATTATGAAATGAAGCCCAGTGTAAGGCCAGCTCCATACTCAATCCTAGATGCATGGCATATGGCACAGTGGCATCTTCAATCAAATCAATTATATATATAGTTGAAACACAACCAAATCAATAAATTGAATTGACAAGTTAATTTAATTTCATATATTTGTCATGGAATAAACTTCTAGGATCTTCTGAATAATTACCACATATTAATCATGGATAAGATATTCATTAAAAATAAGAAAGTGTACTATTTTGGAGCTTCTGATAATTCAAGAACATCCTCAATGAAAAGGCAATGAAACCTTTTCCATTTTTCTATTTTAGAATCATGTTAAGTTTTGAAAATTGTTTAAGGACACGACCCCTTGTCCAAAAAAAAGTTCCCAAATAACCCAAATCATCACTCATACCGTTCAATTGGAACACCACCTCACAGATGACCAACGGCTATGCCAATAGGACCGTATCCAGTCCACCCCTCCCAAGACTTCAGAACTCAGATTGCTGGGACTAATAGCCTTTATTCCTGTAGCTATCGTGGCTAAATCACAAGAAAAGAATGAGTTCGCATGGATGATACATACTTATTGAGAGTGTTCCTCAACTTGACTTAGTTTTGTTTTTCAAAGCAAAAACAACTGTCACACCAACAAAATCAATGTATTTTGATGATTTGGCAGTTTGTTTTTTTTTTTTTGAAAATCAAAACCAAGTTGCCGAACACCCCCTTAAATTGTGTTGTTTCTAGTTTCATTTTTCTGTCAAAACATACCCATTTCGAATATGTAGAATTCTTTCATAACATGATTGGAGAAGAATGGAACACCTAGAGATTAGAACTCTTCACCTAATATGGTACATAAAGAATTTCATTCCATCTTATAAACTCTCAAGTCAAGGGTTCATTTCATATTACAGGAAATTCTGGGCCTTAATTCCCATACGTGCACATATTTTCTTCTATATTTTATTCCAGGTGATAAAAATAAATTAGGGATACGATGTTATATATACACGTACAAAATCATCTTGTGAAGCCTATAATGGTAAGTAACAAATCAATGTTTCACCAACATGGTATCAAGCCTTTTCTTTCGCGCAGCGTGTTTTAGTTTCTCTAAGGCAACAAGGCCAACTTGCCTAACTCTTTCTCTCGATAAACCAATCCTGAAGAAAATTAGTACAGCATCAGTAAAATAAGTAGCAATATAATGATTTCAGCAACAAAAAGATTATTTTCCATTTATGTGAGCCTTCCTTTTTCTTGGTAGGAAGGGATAATACTACACAGAACTAACCTATGCTAGTAATGTACAAATGTTTACCATCTGCAATTCATGAGTAAGATGTTTTATTTGACTAAGCCCTAGTGCCAAATCACTAGGATATGCTTTAGCCAATTTATCCAATGTAGGCATCCAAGAAATATAGCTAATGGATGGTTCACTCTTCAAGACAAAACCTATGTAATAGCATCAAGTGTATGACATTGCCAACTACCTGAGCGAGTGTACTGCTTATGAAACAGAGTAATATGATAAATTTAGCACTCACCGTCTACTTATATCCTCCCATGTGAGGCATTCTTTATCAAGACCGTAATAGAGGCGTATTATATCTCTCTCCCTTTCCTCAAGTGTTGTACTTAGGAGATTGTTAACTTCATCCTGGAAATAATTACTCGAGTTCAGAAACATTTCCACCATTTGGTGAATGATGTGTGAAAAAAATAAATAAATAAAAAGCTGAACTACAAGAACAAAAGCAAAGATAGAATAGGCACCAAAATGTGAGATAAACAGAAGGAAACTTTCAATTAGTGTCAAGGATCAATTTCAATGTTTGACAGATTCATTTTCTTTACAAAAAAGGGGAAGATTAGTTTTATATATATATATATATATATATATCAATTGACAAGTACCAGGAGAAAAATCTCATTAATAAGCAAAAGAACTATGAAAAAAAGAACTTGACCACGCTGAATCTTTGCCACCACCACCACCAATTATGATAATTAAGTAAGAAAAGACAATAAAAATGGCAACAACAACAATAGTACTAGTAGCAGTAGTCAGTAGTAATAGTACATTGAGAGATAATATGTCCAATGATGATCAACGACAAACCAGTGTGGAATGATTTGGAGTAAGGTAAAGGGCTCTATCATAAGGATGCTATCTAAGATGGTAATATTGGAACTAGAAGCTTATGCTTTAACAAAAAAAAAAAAAAAACATGTGCACTTGAGAAGTAAAATTCATGAATCTGCCCAAACTAGTGGTATAAGGAGTGAATAAATGATGATCAAAAGTATAAAATGGATGTGGCTAGGTTTATCCATATGTGGTGTTTACACCATATTCACGCATTAAATGCATAACACCGCCATGTACCTATGGTATCATAATTAAAGATTCTATTGTTATCCTATTTTGAAAACTACCTTGTGGTTTAAGTTTTATCCTTGTTTATATTTCTATTCTCTTCTTTTCTGTTTCCTCTTTACCTTAAGTGACCATTCATCCACTCCATGCCAGGGGTTGTTCTCAAGACGATTGTCTGCAATATACTGCAAATTAATAGAATTATGGTCAGCAACAAGTACCATGAGTGGTATGCAACTGTTAACCAGAACCACCTTCTTTGAATGATTTAATTGGTAATTTTAAACATACACTATGAAGGGTTTCCCTCGGAAGACCATTTAGAGAAGGAAAGGCCTCTCTATCAAGTGAAAAGACCTTATTGACTGCCTGCATTATAACCTTTTTCGTAAGAACAGGAAACAAGATTAATAATATCAAGATAATTACATGGTAGCAAGGAAAAAGTATAGAATATTTAGTACCTCTGTAGCATTTCTAACTTTCTTCTCAGACATATTCAGGCATTCAGCAATTCTCTGGAAATGAAATGATATATGTCAAACTCAAAAGTAATAAAAAACTAGGACTGAATGAGTTCGTATAGAAGCAGAATGATGCCATGTATCATATTCCACAATTGAAGTTCTAGAATCAACTAATTACAACCGCTGCAGTAATTGTGGAAAAAGAAAGACAATCAGAAATGAATCAATTTAACATAGAAAAGGGTAGTAGTAGACTTACATCTATTGAAGGAGTAATGCCTTTTTCTGCCAACCTAATTTTTGCATTCCTAATTAAGCATAACCTTTCATGCAAATGTGTTGGCAATCTTAGAGTTCTGGAGTTTTCAACCAATGCTCTTGAAACACCCTAACAACAAACAGAAGCATATATTGCTGTAAGTGTAAGTTTGCCAGAACAACTGGATAAGCCATTATACTCTGTTCTGTATGTTTTCAAATATTTAGACCCATAGATCAGATTGAACATGAACTACAAAGCCAACGCCTTACATACTTTTCTCCTTTTATATGTTAAGTTGTTAATAACAATGATTATTTGAGTATACATGATTGACCAACAGAAGTAGACCAATGTCCAGTTAATAATAGAATGACTTCTAAGATTCAGATGTTCCTCAATGTCCTTTTGATATCACAGAGGTTCACCTAATAAGTCTATTGTTGGAAACCACTGTTATAGATCCATTAGTGGACAATATCCAGGTAACCTATGTCCAAAATTAACACCCAGGCTTACTAAACAATCATAGTACTCAAGGCAACCAGGCAAGCAAAGTGAGAGCACAGTGCATTGTTAACAAGGAGTTTAGGCCATGGTTCAAAGTATCGATACGCCTCTGCGTGTCGGCAGAGGCGTACCGGTACTTAGATACACACTGAAATACATTTTTTTTTTGTTTTTTTTTCAAATTTTGGTTTTTGGGGAGTTAAAAAAGGGTTTTTTTATTAAAAAAGGGTGGGTTTTTTTATTAAAAAGGGTGGGGTCCCAAAACACCTGTCACTTGTAAACAAGTGTTTCGGGACCCAAAAGATACGATACGATATGCCCGACATGGGGTGTATCGTATCGATTTTTTGAACCTTGGTTTAGCTAGTACTTGGGCATTGTCTAATCTACAAACCAACCCCCAAAAGTGCCTATACCTTCCATCCATGTTGACATCTTAGAATTTCCTAATTTTCCGTAATATTAGATTTAGAAAAAATAATGACAAAATGGTAAAATCTTGGGCTGTCAAGCATGAGAACCTAGGTTCGAGCCTGAGAGGGGCCACTTTGTGCAAAAAATGCCAAACGTTAGGACAGTATCCAGTGCAACCCTCCCAAGACCCCAGGTAGCCGGGACCAACATTGGGTAATGGCCTTTTTTAATGACAAAATAGACATTAAGAAATCTAGTGATTTGAAAGAATAATTTAGAGCAACTTAGCAGCATAAGATAATAGCATCTTTCTGGTTAATATCATGTTATCAAACATAAAAACAAATGATATATTTAGCATGGCAAGTTAGTAATATACAAATTCAAAATTAATATATATATAACATTTTACTTATGTGATTAAAATGAAAAAAGATTTTACTTTTTTAAGTAAAATTGTTGATACTGCTTCTTCAAGCTGTGAACATGTAAACTCATAAAATAATAAAGTTATCCTATTCCTTTATTATATAAATGGTGATATAATGTGCCATACATACACCATAAAAACCTTATGCCAAATCAAGCTCACACTATTAGGCAAATCTAGGAATGGTTAAACTATCTGTCTTTAGAGCTCTTTGCCACCAAGTCATCACCCGGTGGCCTGGTGGCTTTCATAATTAAGCAGATGACAGTGTAACGAGTTATGCTCATGCATTAGATGAGTTGTTTATGCATCAGTATGACATTGCCATTTAATTTTACATAAAGCTTGTATAGAAACCTGTCTATGGTTTCATAATAACCTCAAGTAATTTGCTTAGTTTATTTTCCCACAATGAAGGATAATATTTAATCTCACCTGCCGTATCCACCAATATACATAAGTTGAAATTTTGAATCCCTTGGAAGAATCAAATTTCTCAATCCCACGGAGTAATCCAATCAAACCACCCTACATTCCAAAATAAGTTATTCATAAGAAAATGACCCCCAATTTTTTGCCACAAGTACAATGTTTGAGAAGAAAATTAAAATGTTTTGAAAAGGGGAAAAGGAATTACTTACCTGAACAAGGTCAGCCATTTCAGCCCCCATATTGTCATACTTTTGAGCAATAGACATGACCAAACGAACATTGCTCATTGTCAGCTTTTCTCTTGCCAAGGAACACTCTATGACTTTCGATTGCAATTCAGCACGAGATATCCTCAAGGACGAAGCAAGCTGCTCATCAGAGGGATCACATCCCAATCTTTCCTTCAATCTTGAATTTCAAAATTTTATTAGATGAAATTTCGTAGGAAAAGCAATTGATGATAAGATTAATTCTTTACAATGATATTTACATCTTTGGTCAATGATCACCAACTCCATGTAATGCTAAAGTACAGAAAATATTGTCACCAAAATCAAACCAAGAAGTAGATCAACAACATTTATCATCAATTTATAGGATGTTTTGTATGTTTCCCTTTATTAATTTTTGAGAATAAGAAAATATTGATTCAGGATCAGAACCCTGAAAAAAAAAGAATGAAAAATAGTTGCTCCTGCACAGCCCCTTCTAGCTTGGAAATGGACCTACATTTGGACGTTTTTGGTTCTAAGGGTCTTTATTTGGCCTTGGTATGACCAAAAGCTAAAGTTGAAACTCAGGGTAGGCACCAAATGGAGATGCACATGGACTTCTTCAAGCACAGGCAGAGTAGAACCCCCTTTTTGCTAGTAACTTCTCACCCTTCTAAATATAAGATATTCTTCAAAAGATAAGAACTACAACTAACTCTTATATACAAATCAAGAATTTAAGACCCTAGCATGAACTTGTTTGGGCTTGCCTCAAGGGACTTGATCAGGGGTCCAGGGGTGGAGCCTCTAGCCCCAACCACCATGTTTGAAGAATCACAAAACTTAGCTGAGGCACACTAAGCATGCACCTTTTCAAAGGGGCTGCCCCTGGACCTAGACAAGGTGCATAGGGGTTACAGGACATTCTTTGCCAATGTTTAACTGTTTGGAAATGTTTAAAAAAACTAGACTGAAGATCATACCATTTTTCTCTCCAGGTGATGGTATGACAGTTCAACCATTCAGGTTGAATAGGTCAGACTGCGACATCATTAGAATGACTTCGACCATATGATTACGATATTAGGTTATTCTATGAAACCCTAGAAAGGGAGGGGGAAGAGAGAGAGAGAGAGAGAAAGAGAAAGGTCAAAGAAGACAAAGGACAGAGGTTATTCTCTTAAATGACACCCTCCATCCACTGTTGACCACCTATATTTTTTTTCAATTTTCTAAATTTTGTTAATCCATGGTAAAACCTTCTATACCTTAAGATCTTTCAATCTCCCATCTTTTTACCTCTTTTCAGATGCTGCAGGAATTGAGCTTTCATGATATTATATATTTGAGACATATTGAGAATTATGAAACATGCTACACATGTTCACTTCATAATCATCATCATCATCATCATCATCCAAGCCTTATCCCAACTATATGGGATCGGAAAGCATGTTACCTATGAGTCAATAACTGGTTCAAAACATTAAAGCACTGCTCTTAGGCTGTGCTTGGATTCAGCAGAATTGGAAATGCAGGAGGTAAAGGAAGTTCAGGTGGATTGCAGAATTACTACCCCCCTCTCCCCCAAACAATTTCAAAATCCACCAGAAGGTAGGAAAACTTGGCAAAAAATTGCATTCATTTCTTGATTTTCATTGGGCTCTCTTTCAGGAACACAGCCAAAACGATACATAGTGGATTTGTAATTCCCTTCCCACCATGTTTTTCCATCTATCCCAATCCAGATACAGCTTAATAGCTACTTATTCCTATCAGTGAATTTCCATTGATCTGCTAATTGTGAAGAGGGGGGAGGGGGGGGCAAAGTATGATACAGTGCAGACCTTTAAGGACTAGAAAGTGTAGGACCCTTGTACTTGGGGATTTTTCTTTACATAGCCTACCCTAATGTTTCCACATCATATGGATAGCTGATGCAGTGAATCTGAAACATCTCTCAGATAGGGCCATAGGGGTTCGTCTGGATTTTCCATCTGTTAACTCCACATAAAATATCAGCCCTAAAACCAACCATTTTTTAAGCTTGTCATAGGTGATGCCACCCAGTGAAAGCTTCAATCATTCTTTTTCCACTTAAAAATAATGACCAGGGAAAGTGCATGGAAGGAGCAACTGGTGGATGCGTTCTCTAAATGGTTTATTTAGCAAACTCATGTGTGTGTTTGTGTAGACAGATAGAGTAAGAGAGAACTAAAACTTAATATCATCTTCATTAAATTACAATACCAAAATCCTATGGAAATGTGAAAGTACATTCAGGAAGTTTTTTTTTTAAGAAAATAAAATAGAATGATATCGTGCAAATGGTATTTTCCCTACAAAGTAATTGTTCCACCATGTATGTCTTTCCAAATAGCACAAAACCATCAACATGCTACAAAACAATAACCTAGAAGATTCAACAAGAAATTAAAGATACAAAAGCAGAAAATCGAAAAGAATAATGTCATATTTTTCCAAAGACATGAACATACCTTAGTTTGTGTTCCTCTAAGGAAAGACCTGCTTTGATTTTTTTTGACAACTGCACAACTTCAGCATGGGTCAGCAATTCTTCACTTATAACACCCTTCACATAGCCATAGTGGCTCTTCAGCAGCTCTGGACTGACCATTGAACCAAGCTGCTTTCTTTTAGTTGGTTGCATTATAGAATGTTTTGGGCTCAGACATGTCCTCCTTGTACTTGTTCTCCGTTGTCGAGCAGATACACCTGAGCGAGTGACCTGTATCTTCTTGTGGGTTTCTTCTCCTGGTGCACCATCAGTTATAGTTTGCTCAAAGGAAAGGTTCCACTGCTTCTCCAGCAAAAACTTCTGCAACAAGAGGAGAGCGTCTACAGAATAGTCAAGATCTGTGTTTTCCTCCTCTAAAAGGCCAGAACTCTGTAGCCACACATCTGCAGTTGATGGAGTAGACAAAGTATTCACGTGTTCTTTAAGAGCCCTAATAGACTGTATGTGTTGGTTAGATGGAAAGCTGTCACCAAAATTAGAAGATTTCCTTGCAATTATCACATTCTTGGCTGAAGTTGCCTGATATTGTGCTAATCCATGATCATAGACAGAAAGAAGTCTGTCTGTAACATCAGAGTAATAAAAGGTGGAATTCAAAAGCCTCTTCCCTGCACTTAACCCAATAACTGCAGCTGTAGCCATTATAGGGCTTCTTATCAATTATGTGCATTACCATCACACTCTATGAAGATTCCTGAGCTTGAACCATGTGATTTAATTGTCAGGTTATACAAGTGCTACTTATATCTGAATGAAATAATATTTTTTTCTCCAGAAGCTGCCTGGAGCACTCTGTCAAATCTCTGGAATAGAAAGAGAAAAAGGATTATCAGATTACATTTGACTGCTTTCACAATATTCTTTATATTGCAAATATGCACAACTTGAATAAAGACCAGAGTATTTTCTGTGAAAGATGAACAATTTCTTCATCAAAACTGTAGTGAAAACGCTAGTTTCTACCATCATAACACTTTGCAAATTAAATATCAGGACATGAAGGTGTAAGGTATATATCCATGAGTTCCATCAAGAATTTCTGGGTAGAAGTAAAGCTGAACAGTTTTCATGCTCTTCTGGCTTATTTACTATCAGAAAAAGAAATGATAACCAGTGCATACTTGAATAACAATTCTGAAAGCCTGATACATGTTTTTTGAGATGGTTCAGAAGAATTAATACTTCAGATATGCTTCAGGTAGAAAGGAAACTTAAGACTGCAACCAAAAGAATTTGCCTCAACTTTTTGTTCTTTGTAATTCTCACTTTTGAGATGTTAACAGAGAACCATCAAATAGAAGGTCCGGAGCAATAGCTATTTCAACAATTCCTGATGTTCCATCTGGTTCAATAGGGCTACATTACTCAGTTTCCATATTTGTTCCTTTCTTGATTCCATTTTTAGTATATAGATAAACATATGGTGATTAGAGGCCAATGCTTGGTGTAATGGTAAAATCTAAAGCTGACAAGTCTGAGAGCAGCCACTTAGTGCAAGAAAAAAGAAAGATAAACAAAAATGCCAAAGGTTAGGTCCTTAACCAGTCTACCCCTCCCAAAACCCAGATAGCTGGGAACAACATCAGGGAATGGCCTTTTTAGATATTGATATGGTAACTGCAAGGAAGAAAAATAAGGTTTCTGCATTGAAGCATTATGGTGGAACCTTCAAGGAATAAAGTTATAGAATCTCATAACATCCGAAAAATCAAAAATATAGCAATGGAGTGTGCCTTTACCAATGTCTCACAATGTATGTTGCTAAAAAATTTACAAGTAGCACATATTGATTATTTATAAAAGATTTATCCATAAGTACCCTAACCTATAAAAGCTTTTATGAGCAGAACATATATTTAATTACCATCTTCTATATCATTTGGATTTTGGAAGGATAATCAACTCAAAGTACTCTATGGAAAGGAAATGGGATGGTCCAATAAGCAGAAACAATATGCTATTTTAATCACTGTCAATCTGTTGATAAATATTGACATATTTGGCAAACACAGCAGCATGTTTCACTTCCAATTTATGTTTCTTCTTATTTGTGGTTTTCCGATTAATTTGGAAAGAACCCAACATAACCAAAAGCAATAAACCACCAAAACTAGAATACTTGGATGTAAGCTCGAGCTTGTAATTCCTATATAACATTCTCTAACATGAGATTGCGGTAGATTCTTCAGACCGAAAGATTTCAATTCAACAACTCAAAGAAAATAAGAAAAAATTAGCAGAAACACGAAGGCAAGAAGATCGAACGAACAAACTGAATAACTAATACAGGAAAACTATGGAAATGTGTTAAGGCGTACCTTTGAGAGAGATAGAGAGAACGTCAGTTGAGACTTGAGTGGAGAAGAGTTGTAGCCACTTGGAAGGCGGTGAAAGCTAGAACGGAAATTGAAATTTTTTAAATGAAATATCAAAAATCGCTATTTCGTATGGCCTATGGGGGTTTTAACGGATTTTTCTAAATTTATGGATATCGGAGGAAGAGAGTTCATTGGCTGGAAGAGATATTGGGCCCACCGCCCTCTCTTGTGGTGTACAGAGCGCCATGTCCTGTAATTTGATCTCATATTCGGTCCCCATTGGCGAGTCGCGAGTCGCGACACGCGATCCCCAGAACAGAAGGATCGGGACCCGGATTTGAGAAATGCGATGTTGATGAGAGCTGCTAAGGCCGTGACTCAGGGGTGCTCACGGTTCGGTTAATCGGATCGTGGGTCTTTTTTAACCGAATCGGTAGTATCGGTTTTTGGAAAACCAGCAATTGGAATTGAATCGAAATCAATCGGTTAATCAGTTGATTGATTCAGTTAACCATCATTCATCCGTTTTTTGGTTTTTTAGTTTTTATAATAATATTATAAAAATATATATAACAAAAATTATAAATATATAAAATTATATTTTAAATAATATATAATATATTATAAATATATATTTATATATAATACATATTTATTAATTTATACTATATATAATGTATATATATAATACATAAATATATAGACATATATAGAAATATATGTATACCAGTCGGTTCGATTAATCACCAGTTTTTTATGTTGATTAGCCGAAACCAATTTGATACCTTCGGGTTTTTTTTTGTTCACCCCAAGCCGTGAACCACCCACGCGTCACGGACCAATCGCCCAAATAACATTGTGATCGGGTTGGATCGATGTATATCATCTGATTGGAATATTGTATGAGGTCCACTAATAGCAGATCTGGATGTTCACGGGTTTGGACCCGGTTTTATAGCTTCTCTTGAGAAGAGCAATACCAAGTAGGCAAGTTGGACACACTTGACTAGAAGTGATAACCAGTCAAGTATTATGGGACGATATGATCCATTGTTTAATTGGTCCAGTCAAGTATTATGGAACTATATGATCCATTGTTTAATTGGTCCTACCGTAGAAAATGAATCGGGTCACTCCCCGATAGATTTGCATATCGGGTCAGGTCCGGTTTAAGTGTTCAACCCCAGTTCTAGGGGTGAACAAACGGTTTATTTAGTTAAAAATCAAATTGAATAAACTAAAATTTTAAATGAAAAATTGAATCAAAATTGAAATATTGAAAAAACAAAATCGAAATTTTTTATTTGTTTTCGATTATTTTGGTTAAAATCGAATTTTAACACTATATATATTAAAAAGTATATATTATACAACACATATAATAAATTATATATTGAAATATATAATATAATCCAATATAATATATATTATATGTTAATATATATAGATAATAAAGTTCAGTTAATTCGGTTTTTTTATTAACCCAATTCCCAAACCTGACAACTGAAATTTTATAAAATTAAAAAAAAAAAAAGAACCAAAAAAAACAAAACCAAATTTTTCCATTTTAAACGAATAATGCTCGTCCCTACCCAATACAACCCGATCATGACATTGGATTTGGACTATGGGTGGTGGTGATCATTTCATATCCTGAAAAGCAAAAACCCTGCAAACACTTTACAGGGAGCTTTTGCTTTTAAGAGATAATGGGCTGGACCATTTCTAACCCGCCTTGGACTGTAAATTTCCAAGCAGCTTGGGTTTTGTGCTCATAGCAATTCAGGCCCAGAAATTTGGACGATGGGCTTCGGTCCAATATTTCTGACCCGACCTGATTTGAAAACATGTGCCAAAACCTGGCCCAGACCTAGACTTGTCTTTGAGGTCCAGTGTCTGGGCCCAGGCTACAGCCCTTATATTGTAAAGGGATCTGCTCCTCATAGAGCGCACCTCATACCGATTTCACAGCCCCATCTCATCTTGTATTGGGTACATTTTCCCATAAATAATAAATACAAATACGGAAGATATTCCTGATGTGCAGTCAAGACACGCTATGAAATCGATATAAGGCATGCTATATGAGGAGCATATCCAGACTCCTTATAATAGGTGCTAAACCTAACGCATGGCCACATCTAACTACGGGTGCAATTCAGATCAGGTTGATTCAGGTTGAGGTGCGGGTGCGGGGCATTGGTGGCACTTCAATCTAGTTCGAGCCTCAATCCAATGAACCCAGCCCAACCTCAGAAATTAGAATATGTAACTCGGAAACAGGCCAAATGTCCTGTATAATTGGGTCGAGTCAGGAAGGTCACAAAAATCTTATTATTATTTAATTTCACAAAATTAAAATTATATCAAAATTTAGGGGTTTATTTTACTAAATCTCTTGACAGTAAAATATATTCCTTGTGCAAGGTGTGTGATGAAGAGGGTGTGTTTTACTAAGGAATATATTTATTTTACTAAAAGTGATGAAGAGGATATATTTCAAAGTTATTTATTCATAAGAGTAGTTTATTTTACTAAACCTCTTCACAGTAAACTAAAGGGAAAATTGCAAATTAGTATCATATACTTTGAGTCTAGTCTTACCTTGGTCCATGGACTTCAAAACGTGTCAATCCAGTACCTAAACTTAAAACATGCCAACTTAACACCTACCATTAACCAATTGTTAAGTGACATATGAAAAGACACAAATGTCCTTCGGGTGTAATGGTGAACATTGTTTTATTTTAAAGGGTAATTTTGACATTTCTAAAGTTTTAAGTCACACATGATGTAATGTGATACACATAACTAACGATTAGTTAATGGTAGATACTAAGTTAACACATTTTAAAGTTTGGGGACCAAAATAAAACTAGACCTAAAATACAGGATACTAATTTGCAATTTTCCTTAAAGTAAACTATAATCAAGAGGCAATAATAATTTATAAAAGTTAAGAATAAAATTCAGTAAAACAAAAAGAGAGTAGAAGACATCTTAAAATATTTCATTACATGCAAATAGATACAATTTCAAACCTACCACAACTAAAAATTAAATATACCAAAGACATATATCAACTTTATAATTTATGGTTGGAAGAATGCTAATTAAAATATGGGCGAGGGCTATTGCTCGGTTATAGAGAGTAGAGAATTCCTAGAGTACCATTTATAAATTATTCCCACATTTATAACAATAGAGTACCATCGCCAGGGAGATATACGCAATACGCAGCTGTAATGTCTCGTGGGATAGGGATGTGGGGAACAACTGGTGCGCAGCAAATCCGAGCCCCCTCTTATTACCACAACATATATAAAAGTTATTTTCAAAACTTTGCATAAGGGCATCCATGCCATGCCCAGGGTCTCAATTTTCATGTTCTTTTGTTCCTAAATTCTTTATAGGACTGCATGTATGACATCCTTCCAATAATTCTTACGTTATTCTTCTAGCATGCATCCTCTATAATATTGGAGTAGCATGTCCTTTAAGGGTCTGTTTGGTTTATAATCGAAATTGGAATTTTTTTTTGGAATAGGAATGACGTATTTCTATAGTCTGTTTGGTTCAGACAAAAGTGGGATTGAGAATTAGAATCAGCAGAAGGAGATTTTATTCTCAAGGAAGGGGCAAGGAATGGCCATTCCCTCAAATGGGAGAATGCCATCCCAGCAAGAATGAGAGTGAGATTCTAATTCTCTCTAACTAAACAGCTGGAATCAGAATAACCCATTTCCAGACCCATATTCCTGCAAACCAAATGGGGCCTAATTAAACACATTCTTGCATTATAAGGAAAAAAGCAAACAATAAAAAATAAAAGAAATAGGAAAAAACAAAAGAAAGAAAATAAGAAAATAAAAAAATAAAAAAAACGTTTCTTATCCGCAACAAGTTCCTTGGCATCAATAGAATGAAGACTAGAACATGCCTATGATTTGAAAGACCATATGTAAGTGGATGACCCAAAATATAGTCCTAATAAAAGCTCAGCTTTTACTCAATCTCTCTCCAAGTCAGTCTTACAATGTGCAATGATAATGTTAGCAGATCTCCTTAATGGTGCTCCTCATAGTCAACTTGTAGAATTTTCAAATTCAAGGCATTACATGTATGGAAACTAATTCTAGGTTGACCTCAACAAGTCTTTAAATGTGATATAGTGAAAACTTGAGGATTCCTACCAGGCTACCGCTCCAAGTTAGATCCAATTCCAATGTGGATCTTTCTCCACTCTGATCCAACCTACTTTCATGTTCAAATATCCTTTTATGAATGGTTATGAATGCTTGCTAGTTGTCTAAGGCTCAGTTATAGCCAGTGACAAAGGATTTTAATTTTATGGTGTATTGGGGCGTATTGGCCGATATGTATCATATTATGACATTTCTGATGTGCCCTTCGGGGTCCCACCCATTTCAGGGGGTTGACGGGCCTTAAACCAACCCCGTGAACCAAATGTTAAGAAAGAAAAACTAATAAAAATAAAACCAACCCTCTGACCATTTGTAAATATTTTGTCATTCATTTTCTTTCAATTTTTCAAAATATGTTTGAAAGCACTTTTAAGAAAGTATTTTTATGAAAGCATTTTTATAAAAACACTTTTATAAATAAGAAAGTAGTTTTATGAAAGCATTTTTACAAAAGAACTTTCTAAAAGTGCTTTTGTAAATGTATTTCCGTAAAAGTACTTTCGTAAAAGTATTTTCGTAAAAGTGCTTTTGTAAAAGTACTTTCATAAAAGTGCTTTTGTAAAAGTACTTTCGTAAAAGTTCTTTCATAAAAGTACTTTCGTAAAAGTACTTTTATAAGTGCTTTCATAAAATAATTTTCGTAGAAGTACTTTCATAAAGTGCTTTCATAAAAGTACTTCTATAAAAGTACTTCCGTAAAAGTACTTTTGTAAAAGTGTTTTCATAAAAGTGCTTTCATAAAAGCACTATCATAAACGTGCTTTCACAAAAGTGCTTTCATAAAAGTACTTTCATAAAAGTGCTTTTGTAAAAGTTATGAAAGCACTTCCATAAAAGTGCTTTTTGTAAAAGTACTTTTATAAAAGTGTTTTTGTAAAAATGCTCACATAAAAGTTTGTTCTTAAAAGTGTTTTCATAAAGTACTTTTATAAAAGTGCTTTCGTAAAAGTGCTTTCATAAAAATACTTTTATAAAATTTAATTAGGGATAATTTTACAAGTGGTATTTTAAAATTCAACAAGAGATAATTTTGGAAGAACAAAATTGAATAAATGCTTATTGTATAAGCACTTAAAAAAAACCGGAAATTTGGGCTTAAAAAATAAGCCCTTATTTTTAAAATAAGCACTTATTTGGGGCTTATTTCCCAAATACCAATAAGTTCTTAATGGCCCAAATAAGCACTTATTTTAAATAAGAACTATTTTTAATGACTCCCAAACATTGGCCTAAATGTACTTGACTAGGTAACACTTTCCTAGGTAAATGCATTTACTTAGGTAAATAACTTGCTACCAAACGAAAGTGGTAACCAATTAGGTGGTGTTTATCAAAATTTGCGAGGTTTTTTTATTAATAAAAGCCTTTTGGGTATCATTAGGGATGTAAATGAATCAAACTTGAATCGAATCAGGCAATATCCAAAGTAGATATAAACAAATTAATTATTTTAAGTAATTAATAAATATATATAAGATAAATGTTTTATTTATATAAAGTATATGAATTATTTATATAATTTAAATATTATAAATATATATAACTTATATAAAATGTTTAATTATTTTATGTATTATGTATACAAATTAAATAATTGGTTGAATTTGGATATTTATCAAATTGAATCAGGTTATATACAAATTCGATTCAACTACTTAAACACTATCAATAGGATACTATGTTCAATTATAGTGCAAATTTCATTTACACCGATATAAATGCATTGGAGTATAAAACTAATAACTTCTAATTTACTTTTGCTTCAGTGTTGATGATCTTATTTCTTTGTAAAAAGTAATGTGGGAAGTAAAATGGTGTAGGTCCCAACTTATATATAATAGAGAAGGTGGGAGGACAATTATTTGTTTGGAAGTGAGGCATGAAACAAGATGAAGTTGTCTCCGTTTATATCATTCAGATTAGACCTGTTTATGGGCTAGGTGGCCCAACGGGCTGCTCGGCCCCCGGACGGGCTTGAACATGGTTATAGGCCCGCGGGCTTAAACTCGGGCCTAAAAGGCTGGTCCACAATAAATTCGAGTCGGGCTTGGGTTTTGTCAAAATAGCCCAGCCCGACCTAAACCTAAACCTAAAAAACCCTAATCGAATAGCCCCATCTTTTTATTATCTCTTTGCCTCTTTCCCTCTTTCCCTCTTCTTTTTCCAGTCGAACCCTTCTTCTCCAACCTCCACACTCCACAGTGAGGCAGCGAACGTTCACCAGTGCAATAACTCCGGTAGCGACGATGAGTTCTCTCTCTCTCTCTCTCTCTCTGCGAAATTTATTAGGTCGGGCTCAGGCTTCGAGCTTTTTATCATGCCCGGGCTCGGGCCTAGCATATTTTCATTAATGGGGACTAAAAGCCCAACTCGAGCCTGGCCCGAGCCCGGCCCATGAACAGGTCTAATTCAGATCAATGTTTTCAAAACTGGACCGGGCAGTCGACTAGAAAAATTGGGAACTGATCATTTAATCGGTTTTGTTTTACCTCAAAATCATTATTTGGCCAAAAATTGGGAACTGATCATTGACCCAGGTGGTCGAATCGTTGAACCGTTCAACCTAAAAACAGTTTTTGGTTGTTTTTTGGGTTTTTTAAATTTTTTATTTTTTTGTCAAAGAAGCCATCCATTTGGACCAGACGGTCAAACACCATTCAACCTGGGAACTGGACCCAGAACAGTTCCCTGTCCGGTCCAATTTTAAAAACATTCAGATGGTCCAATGGTATGGTGGAAAACTATTACACAAGATGCCAAAGCTCTGAAAAGAAGAGACCATTTGTCCCAAAACACAGGTTAGTTGATTGGGTTGTGGAATCAATAATAACACCCCACACCACACCAGTATAAAATAAAGGGAGAATGACTGCTCAGCCCAAGTCAGAATTCTTAACCCTACAGTACAGGTGAGATGAATCCTGACCGTAGATTGATGTCAAATCCATGGGTATGATGTGATTTATGGGGGGCTACTAGTAGACTATGGGGGCAGTAATTCCAGAATTATGCAGTGGGCTGCAATGTATTTACAGCCTTGCATAGCTATTGCATTCAATTAGAGATCGGCTTCGGTCGGTGCCTGCAATATGTGGACCCCAACACTACATAGCCATTGCGTTCAGTTAGAAATTGGCTTCAGTCAGTGCAAGGCCCATTCGAACAGTCTTTACAGTCTTGCATCAGAAACATCTCCTCACTTCTGTATTTTATTTGATAAGGAGATATTCCCAATGCAAGGCTATAATGGGTGTTCGAACAAGCTTTGCACTAACGGAATCTGGATCTAAATTGCATAAACATATCTGTTTATTTACATGTGCACAATCAATCTAGCGTTCATATCCATTTATTTTTGTTGACATTTGACAACCTTCATCAACGTAAATTTGTTTCAACAAAAAAAAGAAAAAAATTGAGTTGAGCGCATAATAGCACATGCATAATTCTAATTTTTTCATACTTCCCCGCACTAACATAAAGTTTTATTAGTTTTATTTGTGAAGTTTTCCTCTATTCTTCGTATCAGGAGCCTCGCCATGATACGAGCAGCAGCGTTCACAACCCCCTCCGAAGTATCCACGGCCACCGCAACAACCAAATCGACAGTAGTCCCCTCCGAACCCGCCGCTGCCCGGGTACCCACCACCTGGGTACTCTCCATATCCTCCACGTCCCGGATATGGATATCCACCTGGGTACTCTCGGGTATCCACCGTAGCCCCCGCCCAGGTATCCACCAAACTCTCCACGTCCTGGGTATCCACCATACCCACCAGCCGGGTATCCACTAAATCCTCCACCGTAATCTCCATATTTGGCATCACTGATTCCATAAGTCTTTGCTGCCTTCTCTGCAAGTGGAAAAAAGATCATGTCATGCAATGTCAAAGTGTTAAACATACTCATACACAGATCAATGGGTTTAGGATCCATCACTCCATTTATGTCCTATATTTGATGGATTATTGTAAAATCTTGGGCTGACAAATGTGGTATTAAGGCTTTATTCGTATCTAAATCTAGTTGATTCCTGTCAAGGAGCCACTGCTTGGTATGATGGCAAAATATTAGGGTGACAAGTGCAAAAATGTCAGTTGGAATTTAAAAATGGTCATTTTGTGCAAAAATAAATAAGTAAATAAAAATGTCTAAGGCCCTTCCAAAATTTTTACATAGTCAAGACCAACTACTGGAAAGTCCCTACTTCTTCAAACTATATATAGCCCCTTATCCTGGATCTGTTTGCCATTATGGTTGTAAATAGATTGGGTTTGAATGTGATTCAGTTGCATCCACATCTGCATTTGATTTGCATCATGTTTGATTTTGGATCAGATTTGGATTTAATCCACAATCATCTTATGTTTAAAATGATCGAAATTAAAAAATTTTAGAAATGTTTTTAACTAATATGTGTATAATAAATATATATATATAATGTATTAAATTTATCAATTATAAACTTTATATTATTATATATAATATATAATTATATTATACATATATATAAAATAATATTTTTATCAGTTTTAGATTTTAACCGAATAACCCCATTCAGTCCAATTATTAATTGGATGCAAGTTCTAAAATCCAAATCAGATTCGGAGTCTATTGACAGACCTAATTGTCATTGCCAATATTTATGATTTCGTTCTTTGAAACAAAAATAAAATTGCCATACTACTAAAAACAATGTATGTGTTCGGTTCAGTTTGAACTTTTTCATTCAACGATTGTACTTTATTTGCTTGTAAAACCGAGAAAGGTAATAATTACAACCATTTATGACAATTAGACACCACTAGGCACTACATCAGCGTAACAGTGAAAAAATGCCTAACCGTTTGAGGAAGCTTTAAAAAATAACTTCCCCAAATGGAAGAGCATGAGAGGAAAACTGCTGAAGTGGTGCCCATGTGGCAGTGTTTATTGGATAAACACCCACGGAACCAAACACCCTCAATATGAATTTCATGACGTGACAGTTGTTTTTGTTTTGAAAAACAGTTCTAGACAATGGTGAATGCCACAAACATGTTCCGGTAAATGGCTTTATTTAGGAAATGAATTTGCATATGTAAAGACTCTTTTGCAAGCAAGAAATAAGATATATCACTGGAACAAGAGAAGAAAAGAAAAGAAAAGAAATCACTTAGGTTGGGCCTAGTCTTCTATTTCCAATGGGCCCAACCCACTTTCTTCCTATAAATAAAATATATCTATACTACTATAAAAAGTACGATCGGATAAGGTTTCTAGATTTTTTTTACTAAAATGGCCCTCTCTTTGAAATATGACATGTTTTTATTGTAAGGACAGAAAATGTAATTTAAATACATTTAATGCATTCAATTCCCTTTCATTAAATCTCATCTTTAAAGTATTAAATATTAACTCCCATTCTCTCCTATTGAATGATATATTTAAAGCATTTTTGTTTTTTCTCATCACTAAATTCAACTAATTAAATCCATACATAATAATTCTAATGGTATAAAAACTTATATTTTTAAAATCATCCCAAAAACAAAATAGTATTTTCATCTAGGTGGTGGTAAGAAATTAAACCATATTGATCAAATGGGCCAACCCATGATGCCACAATTAAACAATAAAATTCAAAAAATAAATAAAATATAAAAGATAATGAAATTAAATAATTTTTGGACTATATTTATTATTATATATTCATCACATTAAACAAGAAAATGTATGATAAATAAGAAATTTTTTATTAATTATGGAAATGGAGTATAAAATTTAAAACCAATTAGAAATGAAACCATTCTCCCCCTCTCCCTCATTAAGTTTCATACTAAGGTATTGATTCTCATTCTCTCATTAAACCCTATATTTAAGTTATATTTGTTTCTAATCATTAAATTCTATTAATTAAATCCACAACATGAATTACTTTATAAAAATAAATATTTTGAGATGTAATATAAAAAACCAGTTCTTCCCTCCTCAATTCAACTATTTAGGTGAAATGGGTTAGCCAATGATGCCATAATTAAATAATAAAAATTTAAAAATAGATAAAATGTAAAAATACAGAAAAATAAAAAAAAATCGCATATCTCTAATGTTATATATTCATTATGCTAATGAAAAATAAGTATGATGAATAAGAAGTATATTTATTAGTGGAAGAAAAGATAAAATTTAAAATTGACCAAGAAGCAAAACAATATTCCTGCTCAAGAGGTCAATGGTTCAACCATCTAGAGCAATTGGACCAATCAATCCATGATGTCATAATAAAATAATAATAGTTTTAAAACAAAAAATTATAAACTTTGGACAATGATCCAATATCATATATTTGTTGTAATACACAAAACTTATTTTTATTAATGATAAAAACAGAATACAAAATTTAAAATCGACTACAAATGAAATTACTTTTTTGTTGGGGTGGCGGGTAGTTGGTTTATAAACATGTAAGTCAAATAGGTCAATCCATGATGTTATAATTAAATAAATAATTAATTAAAATTTATAAACAACAACAACAATTAATTAAAATTTCTTACCCACTATGATAAACAACAACGACAACAATTTTAAATATGTAAGCCAAATAGGCCAACCCATGACGTACCAGATTTTGGTTCTATGATCACCTTATCAGACCTCTTAGCTGCCACCGTCAACGAGATGAGAAGAAAAACCAGTAAAAGACTCAAAGGCAGGCAAATCTTTGAACCCATTTTCTTTGCGTAAGAAGCTAGTGGAACCAGTTGAAAAAGGGGGGAAAGAAGAAACCAGCTAAAGATGAAGAGACTAATACTGGTGCCATCTTATCCCTATTTACAGGGGCGGAGCCGGGGGACCAGGGGAGCCATGCCCCCCCCTATGGTCCAGAATTCTTTACTTGAAAATAAAGCTTTCCATGTAAATTAACTCCCTCCCAAACTCTCCGCCCCAATGGTTGATCCCCTATGGGCCCATCCATACTTATTCCCCCCTCCTCATTTCACTTCAGGTTTTGCTCCATTCACAAAAGATTTCTGACTCCTTCCCTGCCTATTTATGAACAAATTCAATGTTGTCATTAACTGCAGTAATTAACTTGTCTTGTGTGATGTGATGGTCATCTGGTCTTGTATTGCATCACCAACGGGCTACACTGGCCCTACATCTGCTGCATGCACTTGATGTTAGAGTAAAAGGGGGATGTACTGGCCTACTTCATTGCTTCTTAAAAGATAGTAAGGCTGTGTTTGGTTGCCGTATAAATTTATTTGCATTAGTACAAATGCATGGGAGAAGTAAATGTAAAAAATGTAAATTTTATTTTGAATTTTACTTTATTCTGTTTCATGTCTTAATTCATTTTATTTATACTGCAATTAAACAAAATAAGCTAAATTTTAAAACAAAAATAAATCAAAATTTATACTCAAATCATTTGCACTACCATTTTTGCATCAATACTTGCATTGCAATCAAACACAGCCAATGAATAACATAAAGACTACAGTTTTCTCTTCTATAGTCTTCTGTTGTCAGCTGCCACCATGGAAACTTGAAGAGATGAGAAGAACCATTAATGGTATCCCCTGTGGAGAGAGAGGACAATAATGGTGACTACGAGACAAATCCGGCAGGGTGTATCGTCTGTTGGCTCTGAATTAGATATAATATATCATTTATCGACGAGTCCGGATATGCTACTGGCACCCTACCCACAAGACGTTAAGTCTCCACGTGTAATTCACGGGAGATGTCTTTTGATGTGCGACTGTAGTGTCCTGTGGGTACAGTAGAATGGAGATGGGATTCAGACATTCAATCCTCACGAAGAGTGCACTCAAGCCGATTTCTTGCAACCGTGCATGGTGTGAGCATCAAAGCCGAACTGGTGGAGTGACACTTAGCCCCTAAATTTTCATTTGCAACAGAAGTTGCAGCCTGAACTTTGGGATACCAGCACTTTGCCCCTGCAACATTAACGGGCTTGACAGTAAAGGTGAAATTACTAAAATGTTTATTCCATGTTTGATGGATTAAGGAAAGAAAATATCAAATCAGGCATGTTAAAAAATGGTATCTCTTGTTTTATTTGTAGTTTTCTGTTTTTTTTTGGCAATTTTTAGTGTTTATTGTATTTTTTCTTTTGCTGCACTTCCTATGTTTTTACAATTTCTACTTTTCCATTACTTTCGATTTTTTCATTGTATTTTATCAATTTTTTATAAAATGATCTCAAAAAATAATATAAGAGCAATTCAGGGTTTTATAAATATTAAACATGTGTATGACAGTCACATGGGAATCTTTTATGAAGTCAACTAATGAAGTGCTAATAGAAGGGAAAGGTGTTGGAATATAAAAATTCAATGTGAACTTTTGTCACAAATGAAAGTTGAGGGAGTTAAAGGTGATATTTGATAACACCGAATGGTCTCACGTGTCTAACCTCTAACCTCTGATTAGAGGAAAAAAGTGTCTGAATGCAATTAGACATGGTCTCATATCTAACCGATTTCAAACACATTTCAGAGGTGATAAAATATTATTTATTTAAATAAATAATAATTGTTATTAATATGTTTAATAATATTATTATTACTATTATTAACTTTATTTTTATTATTTTTTCATATTATGGAACAGTCCATTTATAGGGATAAAATAGTAAATTTCAAATTTTCAGATATTAGAGACATTAGAAAATCGATCCAACTCAAATTCAAAGTCTTGCAAAAAATCATTTCTAATTTTTATTAGATTTTAGAGGGAAATATTAGATTTCTAATTGTTACTATCTTCAAAGTACATAGTGACACTGTGGCAGTGCGTAAGTTATCCTTAACTTTATTTCGAGCAACACCAATAGGGGTAATATGAGATATACGTGGCAAGTTAATTACAGTGACCAGGCACAAGTCATGGAATAATGGAGCATTTCGAATAACACCATCCTTACACGAAACCAAATCAGCCCCCCACAAGATTGTTCCCATAACACATTCTTGTCGTGTATTGAGAACATCTTTCGATGATAATCTCATAAATGATGATATTATCATCCAGAGATGCTCTTAATACACAGTGAAGATGTGCTTGTGGGATGTTGTGGGGGGCTGATTTGAATTCTCCCTACACTGCTGGCGAAGGGATGAGGCAATGTCTAAAAGTCTTGTCAAAGGATTGATTGGTATCTTTGACATGTAGCTGAAATTCCTTCCGTCCATGGGAAAATAGTGAACCCAATTTCAATTACCACCTCATTAGTAGCCACATGGCAAGATCACATGACAGGATTTCAAAGCTGTACCATCTAGAGCTAGCTCCATAAATAACCAATTAGGTCAGTTGATAAGTTCTCTAGCTGTTTTTAGGGGAGACCTTGAAATTCGAATAAGATATCGTTGCTACCAGGGGACAGGGACCACCCTCGTGGATTAGGTTTGTTCAAGTGGGGTTAGGGTTTTGACACTCTAATTTAAATTAGATTTACGTATATGGCTAAACCCATCAGATCATGATACTCCTATACACATATAGAGTATTCTTGTAGTAACTACAAGAATAATATTTCTTTTCATATTATTTTTGGTTTTTTTTTCTTTCACCATAAAGTAAGTGACACTTTGGAACCTATAAAACCAAATTCCAACTGTTATTAAAAATACAATTAAAAGGATGTGGGTGGATGGGTTTGGGTTGGTATTGGGTAGAAACCTATTGGATAGTGACAGGTTTGAAAGTTATATGTTCTTAAGTCAGGTGAGGTAATACTTGGGTGAGGACATTGGAAGGTTTAGGTTCTCAAGGAACCATTCAACCTAAAGGTTTATCATCACCATCCCATACGCCTATCATCAGTTTTTTCCCTTGCAAAAAATCTTATCCTTTAATTTGGGCTGGGTTGCCATCAGTTTAAATTGTTCTTGGTCTTTATTTGTACAATATTATTGTTCTTTTGATAAAGAGAGGCCAAAGTCATCCTTAAACAGGTTTCAATCGAGTGAGGTTCAAGTTAGCCAACCCATGGCAAACGCAATCCTTATGGCTTACTTTGGAAGAACATCAAATCCAAATATGTGGAATGCAAAACCTAACCTTGTATTATTTTCTATGTATTTATACTCTTTCTAAATTGAGCCTATAAATATATTACTTGTAGGCGAGTCAGATGCATTTTGTATCCAGTATCTCATTCAGTCAGGTCTGATCCGGTATCCCATTCATAGGTCAGTATGGTTTTGTAAGTTGTTTGACCAATTGAACCAATAAAAATTTATCTTATTATTATTGAAAATCAGCTAAAATTATATCAATTTGGATCGATTTTTGGTTTGATTAATCGATTAAAAAAAATTAAATTTAAAAATAAATATACAGTATTATTAAAAAATAAATTTACAATATAAAATATTTTAAACTAGAAAATATAGGAATTTTCTCAATTTCTCATACTAAATAAATTATAAAATATATTAACATATATTTGTAATTGGATTGAATCAATTTTGGTCGATTTACAAATGACCAAACCAAAACTTAACCTAAATCTCAAATAAACATAATAAATGAACCAAAATCGATCGAAAATTAATAGATAAGCCAAAACCAATCGAAAATATTATAATGAATCAACAATCTTTGTTTTTAATACTTAGTAATCTTATGATTAGATATGTTTTTTATGCAATACATATTTTTTTGTTGCATAATATATATTTACTTAGTTGACACAAGTTTGGCAACATAAGCTAAACCCTTTAGTTGAAAAAAAATCTCCATTCACATTGAAAAAACAGTGCTCTAAGAAATAGTGCTCATAAAAAATAGTGTTCACATTAAAAAAACCGTTTTTTCATAAAAAATAGTGTTCTAATTCACATTTTGAAAATCAAATATATATGACTTAGAACAACATCGAATTTAGCATTTTCTAGATTATGAAGTAGCAATGACTTCGAACAACATCGAATTTGGCATTTTCTAGATCTGCAGATCATTAAAAACATGAAGTAGCAATAACAGAAACATAATGTGACACTAGATAATAGGTCTTAGTGGTAAAAACGTTTCTTAAAGAATTGATACCAAACAGAAAGCGTTATTGTTGCTCTGCTCTAATTAGAAATGTTCTACCTAACAGAAACGTTTCCAAACAAAAAAACACAGTTTTGCTTCCAACCCACACACTACAGCATCGATGCCAAACATATATTATAGAAAACCAGCATTCCATCAATAGTTGTAGGAACTAGGAACCAGCATTGTTAAATTGCATGCACTAAAACAGTACTTTCTGTTGGCATATATATATAGGTTCCGCAGTGGAAAACATGCTTGCTGCTTATATTCTATAATATTACTTTTTCTAGCTATATATATAGTGTTTATTATTCATCAAAGATGAGGAAATACAGCTCTAAGTAATAAGTTACAACTAAGGCTGTTTGCCTTGAATCTCTGAATCAGGAGCTTGGCCAAGGTAGGAGCAGCAGCGTTTGCAACCTCCATGGTAACCACGGCCACCGCAACAACCGAATCGGCAATGCCCTCCTTCATAACCACCACCATGGCCTGGGTCTGGATAACCACCACCAGGGCGCCCTCCATGGCCAGGTGGGTAGCCTCTATATCCTCCCTGACCTGGATAGCCTCCATAGCCACCACCACCACCAGGGTGTCCTCCATATCCTCCATGCCCAGGGTAAGGGTATCCTCCACCTGGGTATCCACCGTGCTTGTCCATTGCCTTCTCTGTGTATGCGTAAGAGGATAATATTATGTAAGATCAAAGTGCACAAAAATATATAATAGATGTTTACCAGAGTTATTTATCCACTGGTGAACATCCATCAGTCATCAATGCCGGCCGTTCAAGTAATATATCCCATTAACCAGATGGTCTGCTAAGATGGATTGTACAAGTTAATTGATATGGTCTTTTGCTTCCTTGATGATCGAAATAAAATGAAGAGATTAAGAGAGAAAGAAAATCAAAAAAAGAAAAGGAAAGAAAGAAACTCACGTGTTTTCTCTTCATTGGAAGTCTCAACCAAGTCCCTAGTTACTGCCTCCACAGAGAAGAGAAGAACAAGTGCAAGACCAAAAAGAAGGAAAACCTTAAAACCCATTTTCCTCACGGAAAACCACTGCAACACACTCGCAGAAGTAGAAGAAGGATGAGATTACTGGTTTCATCTCATGCCAATTTATAAATAAACCCAAAGCAGCAGAGAGACAGAGAGCATTAATAGCGGGTGTATGTGTAAACTGACGGTGTAATTGGGTCTGAATATTGTGCATCTTTATCCTTTTCACCTATTTAATTATGTTCAAAAAATAAAACCCATGTCGGTAGAGCTTACGAATTAATAAATGATATCAGATGCTCTGATTATATTGTAGGAATTTGATTAATTTAAACATAGTTATAACTTCTATCTCTAAGTCTTTTATGAGCTTCTGGTCATATCATGGTTTTCAAATCGGATCGGATTGGATGGTTGGACCGAAAAATTAGAAACCGGTCAGATAATTGGTTTAGTTTTTTCTTAAAATTGGATTTTTTTTAAAAACTGTTGATTTTAGTTAGAAAACTGTTGACTTGGCCGGTTAATCTTTCAAACTGTTTGAACGGTTTTGATCATTTTTTATTTTTTTTATCAAAACAGGCCAATCATTCAGTTTGAACGATCAAACCATTCGACCCGATAACTAGACTCCTAACCAATTCAGTATCTGGATCGGTTTTAAAAACCATGGATCATATCCAAATTAAGTGAAATTCAGTTTAAGTCTGTTTGGTTCAGAAGAATAGTGGTTTGGAATCAATCGAATCACATTTTCATTTTTGCTATAATGGTATTTTACCATTTGGGGGGAATGGTAGTTTCCTCCCCTTCTAATTCCGAAGAATACCCATTTCAGATAGGTGGAGGGAATGGACCGTTCTGATTCTTATTCTAATTCTGAATAATTAGTTTCCATTTCAATTCTGATTCTCTGATTCTAACTGCAAATCAAACGGACCCTTAAAAGCTACACACACGACATATTATGCATGTGCAAGTATGAAAATTGATACACATGTAACCGGACATACACTTGTCTTAGACGGGATGAACTTAAGTGCAGGTAGGAGAAAATGTGTTGGAACGAAGCGCATGCAGGAGATTCAAACTGCCAAATGTGAGGGGAACGAGACATCTATACAGGTGGCAAAGTTAAGGGTTAACAGCTGGCTTCTTCAGTCTGGTTAATTTGGACAACCAATTCACCCCCTATATGCTACATCGACAGCTAGCTATAGCCTGTAGTGATGCAATTGAGACTGCCATATATGAGAGCTCGGTTGCACGTAAAAAGAAGGAACACGAAGGATATTTTCGGAAGACGATCGATTTTAAACAGGAAAAGAGATCATATTCCTACTCTTCGTGGTGTTTAATTTATTACGTGACTGTTTCAAGACAGTATAGGGAGGACCAGCGTCTTGAAAATCAGATCAGGGGGTTGGATATGGTTGAACTTAGACCAGACTAACATAACGAGTAGTAAAAAGTTCACGGAATCAGATGGTCCAACCCCAAAAGTTCAATGTATTCGGCCATGGGATAATTAATCATGGTCCAAGGATGGCCACAACCCAGAAGCAGTAGTGTGGTGCTTCTGCTATTGGACGCTGTTCAGCGTGAGAAAAGAGCCAGCGAATGGGACCAGAAGCAAATTTACTTTATTTTTTGTTCCTACATTGCAAATTTTATTCCTACAAATAAGCAAATTTATTTGTTTGTTGAGGTGCAATTTCATTTATATCGATGTGAAAGTGTAGGATTGCAAATTCTGGTTTATTTTTCTTTCAGTTTTTATCTTATTTTGTTTCTTTGTAACAGTATTTTCAAAACCGGACCAGATCAGACTGGAAAAATTGGGAATTAGTCATCTGACCATTTTCGTTTCACTCTACAACTGTCTTTTGGTCAAAAATCATTGATTTGATCAGTGAATCGCTAATCCAGGTGGTTAAACTATTGAATTGTCGATTCAGACAATGGTTTTTTATCTTTTTTTATTTTCTTTATTTTTTGTCAAAATAGGCCATCTATTCAAACCAGATGTTCGGACTGTTTGACCCAGGAACCAGAGCCCAGAACGATTCTCTATCCGGTCCGATTTTAAAAAAATAAAACCTGAAGCAAAGAAAGATAAATCCAAAATGAAATTAAACTAGAACTTGCGTTCTTCTCATATATACTCTCGTACATTTGTACTAATGTGAATGTAATTACACTAGCACTGGGCCAATAAAAAGAAAGGGTAGTAGCATCAAAAATCTTAATTAGAACAAGAATTGCATCCTGCCAATGGTTTCTCTCTCCACACTAATGTGCTTCACAACTCTTTCAAAAATTTGACATTTTTTTTTAAATAAAAACCATGAAACAAATACGGCGAAACATTCCATTAATTACTATATAGGGCACTTTATAGGGGTGCAAGTAGGGAAAATTATTTCTAACCCAGCCCAGCTTACAAATTTTTAGTTTTGGGCTTGGGTTTTGTATTCAGGCCCAGGTCCAGCATGGGTCTGCAAATTTCAGGCTAAGCCAGAGACAACATTCGGCCATGATCACCCTTATGTGCAAGTCAATACTCAAGTTGAAGATTTTACACTGCATTGGCCAATCACCCTTATGTTTGGTTTGAAGGAAAAAGTAAGGAAATATTTACAAATCTTGTATGGGTTTCTTTACCTTTTCCTTCAAACCAAACATAGCCTAATTGAAAGGGGGACTATTAAACTTACCCCAAACTGGATCAGTTTCCTTCTTCGTTCAAAAACTTGAATTTACTAATTTAGTCATTGCCCCCGGGGCATATGGAGCATCTTACCGTCTAGTATGAGTTCGGATCTCATGCCCACAAGAATCTTATCCACGGTTACCCACATGACACTACAGCTGTATCTAGTGTCATGTGGGTAGGCATGGGTAGGATTCTTGTGGGCAGGAGATTTAAATTGTTCTAGTATACATATACATAGATAAATATGTTTTCACATAAACCGACCCTTTCAATATTCGGGATTAAAATGCAAACCTAGGCTCCATATATAATGGAGCTGGATAAATTTATGAATGTCAGGCTGACCGTGACCATTGGCTGACTAGGAATGGCAACGGATGAGTTCGGGGCAAGGATCATATTCTATGTCCAACCCCAACTTTGAAACAAATCCCTATCTTTGACCCTGATTTCTGTTAGGGATAAAAGTTATCCTTCATCTCTGATCCCTAATGGAGATGGATTCCTTGTGGGGACTCAAATCCCTAAAATTTTTAATTAAAAATATTTTTGAAAAACATATTTATTTAAAATCAAGAAAATTTATAAAATACAAATACAATTTTAAATATATTTTGATATATAATATAAATAATATCATATTTATGATATAATATATCATTGTGGCCATCCATGCCTTATCCCTACTATATGGGGTTGATTACATGAATCTTGTTTTGCTAATCTCTCTAGTGTCTATTTTTACCCGTGTCTTTTTTGTTCTACCCCTAGCTCTTTTAGCCCCTTCTACTTGTAACAAATCACTTCTTCTAACTAGAGTTATAAGTGGCCTTTTATGCATGTAACTAAATCAACTTTGTTTGTTCTTTCTCATTTTATAACTTATTGGAACTATTTCTAAGTTTGTATGAATAACTTCATTTATAACCCTATCCCTTCTAGTTTTTTCACTCATCCATATTAGCATTTGCATTTCTATCACTCATTTTCTAAAGGATAAATTTCTTAAACTACCCTTATGATTTAGCTAATTGATTAAGTGTACCCTTACTATTTAAAAATTGACTAACACTATCCTCACTGTTTCTGACAATTGACTAATACTTTCCTTACCGTTAGCGCCCGTTAATAAAAAGATTAAAAAAATAATTTTACCCTTTATTCTTTTTCAAATTTTCAAAATAAAACAAAGAAATGGGGAAAGAATAACATCCCTTGAAGACTTTAGAGACTTGATCATGGGAGATGAAGTCGATTCTGAGGCAGACAACAGAGATCCATTCTCTGGGGATGATGACAAAGGGGGTGAATTTGAATTCGATGTGGTTGTGGAAACCCGCAAACTGAACTCTCCAATAGAAAAACCATCAAAACCATTGCTCTCGAATAGAAAAACCAACAAAAGCAGATTCACAACGTTTACAGATCCACCAGAGTCGGCATGGTGGAGAACAGTGCTCTTATCCAGGCCACAGTAATGATTTATATCAGCCTCGGGCAGAGCAAGGATTAGCTTGAAGACATCAATACTACCATAAGTTGCAGCAACCATCGAAGGAGTTTTGTACTCAAGGACTATCTACTTCGAGCCCTTCTGGCGGACATACCAAACACTAATCTCATTGATAGAAGAGGTATCACTCTCCAACGAACACTTGAAGCCTTCAACATCATTGTTAGCCGCGAGCTCAAGTAAACTCTAGAAAGAATCTTCGGTTTCTACAATCAGGTGATTCATGCTTTTCATGGGGGTTTTCTTTCTTCAGAGGATGAAGGAGAAGATGGCAAGAACGAGGTGGACTTTAACCACTCCGATTAAGCACTCCATTAACTTCACAGGTCTCTCTTTTGTTCCAATAAAAAACAGTGCTCACATTGTCACTACCATTTGAATGTGATCGACTCATTGCAAGAACAGAACTCCCACTACTATGGATAATACCATCGATTGGAAGAGCGAGAGCAGACCGCTGAAAATGGATTTAAAATCTGTGACTTCCGAATCTTCAAATCTGAACAAAAAAAACTCCAAAAACAAGAACCTTTATGGGGTTTGATTGGAAGTTAATGAAAATCCCCCTCTACAAAACTCTTGTTTGCATTTGGAAAAAATTGGATGACTCCGATTGGATTCTTCTTCAAACTTTACCAATCACGGCCTTTTACTCTTGATGTTGCAGATGCTCATCAAACCAAGAGAGCCATTGTTAGCCCTAGAAGGAGAGGAATTGGGTTTTGGACGAAGCGGTCGTCATGGAAGATGACTGGGCTTGGCAACTTAACACGGCTTACTTTCCGCAACTGAACACTAAAAGTGTTATGAGCTTATGAATACCACCGCCCTGCAACAGGGTTTCTGACGGTGAGAGGAAATAAGTTGTCGGTGGCGGTCTAACCAGAGCGACGAACAATAGAGAAAGAGGGAGGGAGAGGACTGAATCCATCAGGAAAAAGAAGGAGAGAGAGAGAGGGAGGGAGGTGGAGGGTAAAATTGGGTTTTAAAAAAACATATATATCATGTGCGAATGAGTTTTGATGGAATATTAACGGATCTTAATGGTAAGGGTAGAGTTAGTCGATTGTTAGAAACAGTAGAGATAGTGTTAGTTAATTTCCAAACAGTAAAGATACATTTAGTCAATTAGCTAAACCATAAGGGTAGTTTAAGAAATTTATACTTTTCTAAACATGTTTCATGACCATCTAACGTTGCTCCATACAATATAACTGGCCTTGCAACTGTTTTATAAAATTCTCCTTTTAATTTTAGTAGAATTCTCGTATGACCCAAAGTCCAGATGCACCCCTCTATTTTGTCAAACTTGTTCTAATTCTTTAGGTAACATCCTCCTCAATCTCTCCCTTATTATGAATTATTGAACCAAGGTAACAAAAATGGTCACATTAAGTTATCTCTTGGTTTCAAATATTAATTATATCCTTTATTTACACTCCTATTATTACTAAATTTATATGCCATATACTCTTTTAATTCTACTTATTTTAAAACCTCTTGTTTCTAGGCCATTTATCCCTAAGCTTAATTTAACATTATAATATTATATATTAATTAATTGTCATTCCTACCCTTGCCAAGACAATCTCCATCCTCTACCCCATTGGGTTGGGTGGGTCGGGGAGGCCAAATACCTGGCGAGGATGGGAAAAATTGTCATCCTTATGACATACCCACATTTATCTCAACCATTGAGGCTTAGTCTTTTAAATTAAGCCAAACACCATAAAAATTAGGAAACTATTTATTTTTTTTTATTGAATGTCATTCGTTTTTCAAGGTTGTTAATGCAACCACAGCTCAAATCAAAATTCTTTGAATTATACATGTTGGAGTTTAGAAAGCCAGGAAATGAAAAAAAAAGCCAGCCACTGCACTCCACCTGAAATATTTGAAATTTTTAGTCAATGCTAGGCCAGGTGAATGAACTCATTGAGTGAAACAAGAATTGAATGGCCTATTTGAACTTATCTGATGTACAGGCCGGGTTGAACTGACAACATTGATTATCATCACCCATAGGCTTAAAACTTAGATGTTTTCAGTTGTCCAAATAAATTTCCGGCCAATGAAAGATACATACTATAATGAGAGGTTCCTATCAGTCTTCTACGTTTTTTTGTTCTTTTATTCAAAGCATTAATTGAAAGGAAAAAGTTGAGAAACCATAGAACTAAGATTTTATAATTTATTGCAAGAGACAACATTCTCCATGTCATTTGCACATACAGACGAATATATGAAGTGTGGGAACCATGTTGTATGTCAACCTAAGACCCCGAGTTCACACTACTTGTTCACAGTGGCCCTTATCATGCATGAGCAGAGATGATTGACACAATGACACACTAATACCCCCATCCATACATGCTATACTTCTTGCCTTTTATTCATTCGTATTAATTTCTTCATGCTAGTAATATATATTATATATACTGCGGCCTCAGTTGATCATCAGTTCAGTTGTGAGGTTTGTTCTTTTCAGTCACTGTGTCCGCAGCTTCTCCGGCGTAGGAGCAGCATCGTTGGCAACCTCCTCCTCCTCCATAGTAACCACCGCCACCACAACAACCGTATTGACAATAGCCCCCTCCGTAGCCACCACCTGGATACCCGCCGTAGCCACCGCCTGGGTTCCGTCCATATCCTCCACCAGGGTACCCACCATAACCACCACCCGGGTACCCACCATAACCTCCATATTTGGCGTTCTTAAACTCTCCTGTCTGCGTTGCCTTCTCTGCATGTGTGAGAGGGGAGGAGATAATAGTAAGAATAAGAAACTTTACAATTTTACACTCTGATTATTCAACAGATTTTGAGCTGAAGAACACAATTTCTACTACAGCACATCAATCAATTAAAGTACTGTTTCATCAATTAATCCGTCTTACCTCTTACCTGGGTCACAAGGTAATTAATTTTTCCGATTTTTTACCTGTACCTGTGTGTTTATACAACATGAAGTTTCTGGGTGCAAGTAAATAACAGTACAGTTGGTATCAGTGTGTGAGAAAGAGAGAGAGAGAGAGAGAGCCCCCTATATCGAAGTGGATGGTGACTCGGTAGGCATATAAACTGGGTAGTCCCAAATGAGATACGGAGTCCCACTATCTGCTCTCACCACCTTTCTGAAGAATTATTAATATTACTAGAAAAGAGAATTGAATTACAGCCCCTATGGAAGCAAAGGTGAGTATATATAATCGATAAAAAACAAAAATGTTGGAAAGAGAGAGATTAATTACGTGATTTCTCCTCCATCTTGGTATCGGTTAAGTCGCTAGCTGCCATCACTGAAGAGAGGAGAAGAACAAGTGCAACAGCCAAGGGTAAGAAGGCCTTCAAACCCATGATTCTATTGGGAAATCACTCAAAACAAACTTAGTGAAGAAAGGATGAGATCTGAGAAGTGAGTGCACTAGGGGTGTCTTATATCCCTATATATATAAACAACTTGAGTGAGAACGAGCGATTAACCACAAATTGTGTCTCGCAAATGACCCACTATGTAGTTGGTTGTTGGGTCGATCTCTAGGCCTTTCTTTGACTTGATGTAATCTTATCTTTCCATTTACTGTTGCAGCAACATTTCAATTTTTCAATTAAAGCCATGTCGGTTCCAAGCTTCTCGATATCAGACACGTTGCAAATTATGTGGCCCACTAGGTTAGGAGTTTGGACAAAGGTCAGGGCTACCCCAATGAGCATATATATTCATGATCAGTAGGTATGAACTGGAATCTGCCGACTAAGGATGTATATACTATTTCAGTATTTTGGCCTTATTTGTGTCTGAATATGGCTGAAATTTCCTGACCCGGCCGGCATGCTTAATTGTCAATTGTCAACCCGCTCCAGATTGGTGACTTTTATCGGGCTGACCTGATCCAAGCGGATTATGAGAATGGGATTATGCAGGTTGGGATAGGGTTACTTACTCTAAGGATGGACTAATTAGACTCTTTGGGGTTGTGGGGCAGGTTGGATGAAAGTTAAGATTGAGGTACTCTCGTACCTTGGGTTGGGTTTGGTTTGACATGAAAGTTAAGTTTGAAAAAAGTATAAATGCATACGAAATAATATAAAATATAAGGTTTTGCGTTTTACATATTTGTATTTGTATTCTTTCCGAACTGAATCGAATGCCAATTTGCATTTTTAGGGGCTTTTAATGTTTTGTTTTAATTTTCAAAATAAATAAGATATATGCAATCAAGAACATGTTTTTTATATTTTTGTTTTAAAAAAATAATCTATTTTTAAATCAGATGGTTTGGATTGGTTTTTAAAACCGGTAATAAGAAAAACAATTCACATTACAGAACAGCTCTTAATGTACTGATATCCATGGCCTACGTGGAACCCTAGTATATTGGATCGATTATCATGCACCACGTTAGCCTAATACATGGGAGCCATGATTGACACAGTATTATGAGAAGAACCAAAGACAACACAAACTCTAGTTATACGTAGAAATCAATGTTTTGGACCAGACACTAGATTGAATAGGGACTGGTTCAGTTCAGTTTGTTTCTACTCTGGTGTAACCCTATATATATCAAAACCAGTTTTGGAAAGCATATAATTTTTCTTCGAAAAGAAGAAGACCTTTGGAGGTAGTGAACTAAACTAGAAGGTCCTTGAAATCCACTTCAGCCCTAAGACGTTGGTTTCTAACTAAAAAAAAAAAAACACTTTAACTTCTAAGGGATTAGGCCTTGTCAAATAATTGCCATAAAATGTATTGAACCAAATGAAACAAGCAATGAAGGCTAAGGCAATAAAGCTTTTCAATTATAAGTAAACTTCTCCAACCACACAAATGCATATGATGATAATGAGGCCTTGAAATAGCAAAGCATTAAGAAAGTAAAATGCATTCAACACTTGAACATTACTAAATCCAGAACTTTATACAGTTTTATCCAATTGAGCAATCCAATCTGATGGTTCTCTCTGGATTTTGACATGATTTAATTCCCTACCCAAACCAAGTTCCTTCTCTCTTTCTAGACCCTGTTTACTACTCTGAAATTTTCTCTCGTCTATATATATCTCAAGGATCTTACCTTATTACTAAGGCTTACACTAATTCTTAGAAAAAATAATGCTTTTTCTCTTTTTGGGCTACATTTGATTAGACTTAAAATATACTACAAAATGGTTATTGTAAGATTCACTAAAGTTGTGTTTGGTTTGAAGGAAAAAGTAGGGAAATATATACAAGCTTAAGTGAAGCTGTTAGAGAATAAAAGCCTATTCAGGGGCCTCACTTGATAGTTTAAGCTTTTAGGTTGAACAGTTATTTGAGATGGTATTAGAGAATGTTTGAATAAGTGGTCTAGTGCTCAATTCTCATCATGCCCATTATGATTAATTAAATTTCAGCACAAGGTAGGGTAGGCCTATGCTTGTCTATGCTTAAAGTTTATTAAGTGAGGTCCTTGAATAGGGTTTTATTCTCTAATTAATAACAATGGGAGTGGCAAAGATTAAACACCAGACCAATTGATCGAACATGAAAGGAGTAAAATGGCTTGCCCCTTTGATGAAGATGAATCATTTTACCTACAGTACTCTTGCATGAGATTGTAGGTTTCAGTTGAGTTGAGTTCTACAAGGAAATGGTGTCTTTAAATCATTTAGGGCTGTAACATACCACCTCGTTTCCATATCTAACATCTTGGCAGTTTCACTTTAGGCTACTCTCACTCTAGAGGTAGGTATCTCTCTCCATGACAGCTCTCACTCTGGTGATAGGTAGCCCTTTCCACAACAACTTACACTCTTGTAGCAAGTAGCCTTTCCCGTTGGCATCTTCCACTTTGCTCTAAGAAGCCCTTTCCATGACAGTTTCCATTCTTTTCTAGCTAGATAACCCTTCTCCAAGGTAGTCCTTTTCCATGATTTAAAGTTAAGATGTGGTGATAGGCTCTAATACACCATTTGTTACATGCTTGACCAATATGCCAAAAGCCTTAAGACTAATGAAACATGTAAAACCAATTACTACTTTAACATGCAATACCATTAGGACCTTAACATATTGAGGATCCAAACATAGCCTTGGTATTTTTCTTACTTCTAATATCATATCAAACTTGAATCAATTGACCTGTAACCTTACCATTTTTTTATCTTTCTCAATGGAGCTACCCAACCTAATAAATACATTTACTAAAAGGAGTATGTATAATTTGGCTTCATGGCCGAAATTGATGTAAACCTCTCTATTGATCAAGCTGATGTAGCATTACTTTTCTTGTTTCTGTGATGGAAGGATTGATAAAAGAAAGTAATACCCCTCCATTGGTTAAAGAATTGAAAATGGTTATGTTAACAAAAATATCCATCACACTCTACCCATTTACATTTTAATTAAAGCCGTAATACCCATAGCATGTTTAGTCCATTCACAATTAAGTGAAGAAGCAAGCCACTTTTGCTAGAGAAAAAGACATTGCATCCATAACATAGAGAAAAGAAGTAGGCTGATTCCTCATTTTGAAAATGTCAAGAAATCCTAAAATGTTAGGACCCAAAATCATGTTTTATAAAAATTGTATTGAAATCAACTCAAAATATTGATTATAAAAAAGTTCAGAAAATATCGGTTCACTCCAAACCAGAGATTGCTCCTTGCACCCTAGTTCAGAAAATAAATTGGTTTTGTTGTGAAATAAATAAATTCATGTCTGCTGCAACTGCTATCACAACACTCCCTTGCAACCCCTGGTCAATAAAACTCAAACATGCTAGTATTTGTAAACCATCCCAAATAGGGGGGCAACTTGGTCAGGCTCAAGTTGAGCATTTGTTAAATTTTAGGGTAAATTGCTTAAACCTCACCTAAAGTTTTGTAATTGCAATCACCTTCTCTGAATTTTCTGATACAGTTGCAAGTATATCCTTTTTTGTTAGAATTCTCTACCAAGAGCTATGAAGATGTGTGGTTCTATTGAAGCTGGTTTCTACGGAAAAAAAGCAATACAAACTTTATGAACAACAAAAAAAAAGAAGAGAATTTGAAGTTACAGCTCTACCTTTGAGTGATTAATAAGAAGGGGAAAATTGGAAAATAAATCAATTTCAGAAAAAGACTCGAAGGGTTTGGGGTAGTTATTCATTCATATGAATAGAAGAAGTGAAAAACAAAATTTTTCCAAAAGTAACTGCATAGGCATTTTGGACATTTTCATGCCTCTTTTTAGAATTTTCTAAAAGAGGGGGTCTGCTTGCAATTATGTGTTTATGTGAAAAAGTTCAAAGGAGGTTTCAGCAACAACCAGAAACTTTGGAGGAGGTTTCAGCAATTTACCCTAAAATTTAAAGGAGCCCAGCATGAACAATCAAGCCCAAAGCATTGTAAATTCTTCAAATTGTTACCCCATTTGCACCCTTAATTCAACGGGTTCAACCAAACCCAACTAATATTCACCTTGTACAAAATTTGCACATCTCCCAAGGGTGAAATACAACTCAAATTTGAAAAAAGAAAAAAAGTTGAAAACCAAGTCAAATAACCAAAAAAAAAATTATAAAACCAAATCGCCCTTTTCTTTGCCTTTTGTTTATATTATCAATTTATAGTATATCTTTTAATTTTCACTTTGTTTTATCAATATCAAGAGGCATGACTCATTCACATCTGTTTAGCTTTTTATTAAAATTACAAAGGGCTAAGACGGACTGTTGGGCTTTATGGCCCAACACTTTTCAAGCCGGTATAAATTATAAAATTTTAGCTACATCATTAATATATCCTTAGGAGGAATTAACTCTATCTGAACTAACCTACGAACTCTAAAATCCTATTAATTCATCTCCACTATCACCACAGTGCCACACCTTTAAATGTGATTAGAAGTGCAGATGCTACCTTTTTAGACACTTTTACCCTTTATTAAACGTAAAAATCTCTATTCCAAAGTCCCTCATAATTAAAATTAATTTAAAATAATAAAATTATTAATAAATATATAATATATTAAATAATAACTGAATAATTAATAACAAAAAATTATAAATATGTAAAGTAGTATTCTACATATTAAATAATTGTAAAAAAATAAAAAAGGAATGTAACAATTATTAAAATTATTTAAAATAATAAAAATTAAAATTATTAATAAATGTATTATATTACACAATAATTGAAGAATAATAAATTAATTAAACAATTAATAATAAAATAATTATAAAAATATGTAAAATACATTACTTTAAAAACTAATGCATATTAAATTATATAATAAGAATAATAGAGGCAATTAACATTTAATTAAAATAATGAAAATGTTAAAATCATTAATAAAATTATACTTTATTAACTAATAACTAATAATTAAAAATTAGTTAAATAC